ATAAGCTAGCTGTTTCCTTTAACTACCAAGTTTCTTATCATCTTAAACATTTCTTCTGAGAAACAAGGTAGTGATCCTGTTCTTTCAGGCTTGGCATAAAGTGATACCTTCTTGATTTTTGTTCCCACAGACAGTGTTGAGGATAACTGCAGATACAGCTTCATTTCATATGTTAAAGAAACTGAAGCACAGGAAGTTCACCCAAGAGCACTCAGTGTTGGGTGTTGTGTTGTTAAGTGCAGTAGAGTTGGTTCTGACCCATAGTGACCCTGTATAGGGTTTCTGAGGAGCAGCTAGTGAGCTTAAACTGCCAACCATGCTGTTCAAACCAACTTTGTAATCCATTGCATTAACCCATAGCGCCACATCAGGACTTTCAGATCTTGGGTAGTAATGTTGAAATATGTACCTAGATGAAACTGTGTTTTTTTAGTAGCTCTACTTTGTTCCTATTCTTTGTTTTCCTTTTTTAAAGAGAAAAACTACATAGTAGCAGGAAAGATTCTAGATCCTCTGGTAGTATAGTGGGTATGGGGTGGGCTGCTAACCTCAGGGTCAGCAGGTTGAAACTACCACTCATTCCATGGGAGAAAGATGAGGCTTTCTGCTCCGGAAACCCTGTACTATGAGTTGGAACCAACGCTACAGCACATAACTCCCACCAGCCACCATTACAAAAATACCATACATTTTATTGGTGACCATACAGAAGAATATATAGAACCTTCATGATACATTGCAGTGAAAGAAGTAAGGCGTGTGACTGATATGGATGTGGCCAGAATTTCCCCACAAAATCAAGCCTTTTCTTTAAAGTATTTCTCCTATAAAGGGTTCTATGATCCAAGTCTATGTCGCTGAAATAGATGAGACAATAGACACCGTAAATAAAGAATCTTTCTGTTCTAAGGATTATTCCTTACACTGATGCCTGTTATAAACCAGGCACTCTTCTTAATGACATGATTTCAGAAATGATTTAGATATACTAGTGATGTGATAGGACAGTGTCATACTATTCTAAAATGGGATATTTTTACAAGACAGGTAGTCATAAAGCTATATCACTGTTCTTGCCCTATAAACATTTCTGAACTGTCTATCGAGAGTTTTGGGATGAATGAGGATGCCTGTATGGTTACAAAATGCAGTTTAAGGTCTTTTTTAGAACATTCCTCAGAGCAGATCATGCGCTGGTCTTAGACATCCTTTGCCTCTGCTCTCAGCATGTTTCTCATGGTGATTTGTTTTAATAGCCTCTGTTTTGGCCTGTATTGCATTGCAACTGTTAATAATTTTGTTTTACTCTGTGTGGAGTAAGCTAGTTCTGTGTTAACTTTTTATCCCTGAGCTGGAACTATGTCTGGCACACAGGAGGGTAAGTCAAAAAGTATTGGTACTAGAGTTCCAGTTCATATATGCATAGGTTTTTTTCCAAACGAATGATTTGATTAAACAGGTCTGTGCAACAAGCTGATGGCTCTCTCAGTAATACATTTGTCTTAGTCTTGTTATGGTGCCTTCAAAAAAAGGTCCAATCAAAACATTGGCTTCTGGGAGAGTTTGCTGGAGCAAACAAGGCAGAGAGGTTAGCTCAAAAGGTTATGGTAGCTGTTTTATGGCAATCTAAAGGGACACAGGGTGGTCATGGGGACTATTTGGAAGAAGTTTTAAGAAAATTGAAAATCACATTGGTGAGAAAAGGCCAGTAAAGTTGTACCAAGGGTTTTTTTTTTCTCTCCCTATCATAAAGGAGCTCTGGTAGCGTAGTGGTTACGAATCGGGCTGCGAACCTTAAGGTCAGCAGTTTGAAACTACCAGCTGTTCCGCGGGTGAAAGATGAGGCTTTCTACTCCCGTAAAGATTTACAGCCTCGGAAACCCTGTACAGGGTCGCTATGGGTCGGAACTGACTCGAAGGCACTTACAATAACAACAACAACATCATAACAGTGCACCTATAGGAATTTTGTTGGGAAACCTTACTCCATCCACCCTGCTGCCCTGACCTTGTCCTTGTAGACTTCTTTTTGTTATTTAAACTCAAAGAACATTTAAAGGAAACACAATTTGAGTGTCCTGAGGATGACAGAACTGTCCTTTTGGTGTAAATGGAAGTGTGCATAATTCTTTGTGGAAGGTTTAAAGAGATGGTAACACCACTTCAGAAATATGTACAACTAAATGAGGATATGCTAAGAAACAGTAGTTCCACATTTTGATTTTTTGTTTAAAAAGGATCTCGATGACTTTGTAGCAATACCTTTTTACTTACTCTTATATAGGTTTTAATACCCAAACCCTCAGTGCCATCAAGCAAATTATAACTCACAGTGACCTTATACAGGGCTTCTGAGACTGTGAATCTTTATGGGCATAGACAGTTTCATCTTTCTCCCAAGGAGCAGCTGGTGGGTTTGAACTGCCCATTGTGCAGTTAGCAGCCAACGCCTAACCCATAGTGCCAGTGGAGTTGTGCTAGTTAAATGAAAGATAGCTTTAAAGTAACTCAGATTTTAGCTGGGGAAGACAGTACAATATATGATTTCAAATAGATAGAAATGAGCATGTCTTTCTTTAGAATGTCAGAGTGGTAAAACCTTATAGTAAATATAAAACCTTGAAAAGGCCTTCTGACTCAGTTTGTACTTCCTTGCCTTAAATTGATTGGCGAAATTGTAAATCTTTTTGAAAGGAGTCAGAATAAGCATGGAACAAAATCATTAGCTGTGTGCTTCAGCAACCAAACAATCTGAATATAGTAATTCAAATGAAATACACTTGTCTTAAGCTAAAGAAACTTAGAAATGCAATTAACAATTTTCAAATTAACATAGCTTTTCAACCCAGATGTTTATATTTAGAATTTTTAAGTAATTGGATATACTTACAGATTATGAATTGAGAGTGTTTTTTATAGGCAGTCCCTGGGTTTTAAACGGCTGATTTACAATTCCTACTTGTTCTTGATGCAGGTTTTAAACCAGTTCTGTCATGGCCAATGAAACAGGAACAGACCAGAATTTTTACAATGTGGATGACTCATGTGAACCTGAATGGGAGTAATTACAGGCTGAAGCCCTGAAATGGGAGACATGTGAACCCATTCAGGAACTTGATGCATGAGACTGGATTATTGGCAGGACAGTGGAGTGCCACACATGCTCAAAGCTGCCGTCAGCTGCCATCTTTGAATGGGGCGCTGCCATATTTGAAGTCATGCTTTAATGTTTGTAAAATTGCCCTTACTTTGCAAAGGTTGAACCAACACCTAATCATAACTAATTCTTCATCACAATAACTCCACTTGATGCAACTTTTAAATCATTGAAAAGGCTTTGAGTCTTTTCTTGCAACAAGAATTGTATGCACCTACCTGTTCCAACTGACCTACACATACTTTTTTTCCATTTTGAACTTTCTTTTGTGATTTGCATAGTGATTACAAGTCGAGCTGCTAACCTTAAGGTTAGCAGTTTGAAACTTCTGCTGGAGACAGATGAGACTTTCTGCTCTCCTAAAGATTTACAGCCTCAGAAATCTTATAAAGAGTTGCTATGAGTCAGAACCGACTCTACATCACATAAACCACCCCCATTGTGGATTCGGTGAAAGTTAATAGAGCAAATTAGTTTTTCCATCAGCATTTTATACACATTTTGTTTCATGAAATGTGTATAGTTACAATTAGCTATAATATAATAGTACTTTTCCCATTTCTTTTCTAGTTTCATTTGCATTTGTCCTTTCCTGCCCCTTACTGTCTTCTGAGCTTTTCTGGGGGGCAAATACTATATTTTTTTGGAGTCCTGCTGTGACGCTGAGGGTTAATACGCCAGACTGCAAACCATTAAAATGCAAGGTCGGTGGTTCAAGCTCACCAGCTGCTCCTTGGAAACCCTATCCAGGGTTGCTATGAGTCAGAAATGTAACAACAGACTTGGAAAACTTGTTCACTCTCATTTTAATGGAACGCTTGACATAATTGAGAATTATGCTTTCAGCTTCATATATATACATGAAAAGTATCTGGTTTTCTCTTTTTACATTGATAGTGTACTTTGTAAAACTTTTAAACAAAATTATCAACTACAGATTTTGACCTTTTTTTTTTCCCCCCAACTACCTTAAGATTTTATTTTGAGAGGGGAAATAGACAAGTATTTTTCAGCTATAGTTGAGTCATTGTCTTTTAAATTTAAATATTTAAAAATAGTATTTAACGTCTTTTTTTTTTCCTGTTAAATCAGTTGCATTTTTTCCTTTTTTTTAAAAACTATTGGAAGGTTTATGAAGTGATTAAAATAATTTTTAATGTCAAGTTGATTCTGACTCGTAGCATCCATATATAGGGTTTCTGAGGAGCAGCTGGAGATTGGAACTGCTAATCATTGCAACTTGTGGTGCCGTGCTTATCTTACAGTTCCACACAAGGACATGCTTTATATTTATAGGAATGATAACTCATTATTTTTAAGAATCACTACTTTAAAAAAAATTTTCGCATGAGAAAATATTGCCACTCTCTTAAGAACTTCAAGGAGGATGATTTCTTACCTTCTATAAAATTATGCCTTTAAGTAGAAGAAAAGGGAAATAGCTTTTTTTCTTTTACTTTTCTTTTTAATCTATGAACCAACATTGATTGTTTACCTGTCATATGTCAGACATTATGCTAAGAATTTGTGTTATTAATTCTTATGTTACCTCATGAAGTGCATGTTCCTAGAATCTCCGATTTTAGATGAGAAAAATGCATGTTAGAGAAGGTAAATAAATTACCTCAAGGTGTATAGCTATGGTACAACTGAGGTTTGATTCCAGATCTAGCTGATATGTAATTAATGATTATGAATATGTATGCCAGGTTCATAATGGGTGCTCAATAAAATCAATTGAAAATGAAGGTCATGTACCATTTGGCTTTAAAAACAAACAACAACAACTGTTCATATATTGAAGTTTATATGTTGCTAAATTTTCTGGGTTTTTTGTTTATAGGAGAAAAGACTGAAAGAAAGGGATGCCAGAAGAGAAGCCAACAAGAGACAAGTAAAGGTAAGGGTTTACATTTTTAACCAGAACAGTGTTTATGATGTTAATTTGGAATTTAAATACTCTTCATTTCAATACTCACTTATACATCATGGTATTTGGATTGAATTTAATTAAACCCATATGTGCCTGTCATTGTGTCTCTTGTATCCATTTGTATCTTGTAGAATTCAGCATGAAAATGCCTAAGGATTTGTTTATTGGACTCTGCCCTACTCTCACCATCACCTTCTGCCATTTTGTTTTGTGCCTATTAAGTACAGGAAACCATTGATTCTGTGGGACAGGCTTTGTAGGACTTAAAACTACTAAAGTACTTTAAACTTTAGACCAAGTGGAAAGATTATATGAGCCTAACTTGATATTAGGAAATTCTGAAAGCATTGGATTATTTCAGATCAGCTTCTAGAATCTAGGGAAAAGCACTCTACCTCCCACCTTCCTATATTCTGTAAATAATAATTTTTGGTAAATGTATATGTACAGTTTCCCTCAAATACATAGAGGTGCTTCAGAATTTGTAGAAAGATCCTATTATAATTTCATTTCTTTTTCCCACAGATGTTTTGAAGCACCCTCTTATGTATAATTGTAAATGTCATCCATGTGCAGCTATAATTTGTTTGGTGTGTTTGACACTGAGGGCTCGGCTTCTGCATTGAGAGGACTTTTAGTAGGAATGATTACCTAGAGTCCGGGCCCCATAACATATGCCATTTCTCATGCTGTATCTCATTATGCCATGCCTAGCTATGATTTTTTCTTGTCAGTTAGTAAAGATCCGACTCCCTGGAGTAAGCCCATAATGTTCCTTGTCATTTTCCTCCATGCTGGCCACAGCACTTAGAGAGCAAGTCTGAGATGATAACTCATGCTATAGCTCTGAAGTGGGAAGCAATTATTCTGCAGAGCAAGATGAAAAGACTGCTTATTTTCAGTATTAAATACCACTCTGTCTTCAAAGGTGCCTGAACACCAGACTACAGTGTGTGCAGCCTGATGGGTAATTCAAGTGGTGGATTCTGCATATGCTTTTACAATGCAGGGATGTGGCATGAAAATGAGATCTTAGAGGCTCTAGTGGGGAAAATCTAAGACGACTTAAGTCTAATGAAAGTAATGGATGCTTGTAACTATTGCATATTCAGCTTTTAAAAAAAACAAAACCAATTTTATATCACGCAGATGCTCTCACTTCTGTATCTGAAATTGTAAAAGATATAATCTAAAGCCAAAAGAAAGTCCTGTTACAATCTTTCCTTTGTGGGTACTTAACGCACATTTGGGTATATTTGTAGATATGCTTGCTTTCTCTCTCTCTCTTTTTTTTTTTTTTCTCAATCCTTTTAGATGTGATATGCGTGATCTTTTATCGTGGTTTAGGTTGTAAGAAATTGCTATCACCCTTAAGCCTGCCTTGCCAGATCCCTTTTCTCTTATTTCTGTATAAACTGGTGTGTATGGTTTGGTTTTAATACTGTGTCAGCTGAGAAAATAAGCAACTAAACAAACAAAATGTGTACAGACCATCAAAGACAGATTTTTCCATTGGGTCAGATTTCTAAAGTGAACTACTCAAGCCAGTCCCTTCCCTTCATGCCCTTCCTGCTTACCCCCCACCCCTTTTTCATGTCTGTGTCTAGACATCTAAGAAAGGAGGAGAAGTCCTGATGTGGTGCTGTGGATTAATGCCTTGGACTGCAAAGTCGGTTTGAACCATAAGGTTGGTGGTTCAAGCTCACCAGCTACTCCTTGGAAACCCCATACAGGGTTGCTATGGGTCAGAACCAACTTAATGGCACTTACCAAGAAGAAAGGAGGAAGACTTTCTTGTAAAGAAAAGGTTTCATTTTGTGTAACCACTAAGGATTATAAAGAGATGCTGCAGTTGATACGGCTTTACTGCTCAGCCCAGAGTGTTAAATAGACAGTGGCTGTGTTTCATTATTGCTCCTAGTTTCGCTGCTTCCATTTTACAACCTTTGCTGCCTGAGTGCTCCGAGATGGCAGCCCCCTTGTAAGAGTGATATTACCAGAGGGATATCGCTGCATGGTTTGTAGCCAGGATCCAAACATTCCTCAAGACACCAAGCACTGGCAGCACTGACAGGTTCAGGCTGACAGATGGAGCCCAAGGAATTGGCTCGAATCAACCTTTTTGCAACCAGCTTCTTTTCAAATGAAATTGACGGGACAAAGGCCCTCCTGGCTTTTCAGGTGCCCTTGTGCAAAAAGGCTTGTTGGTGTTCGGTGCCCTCTAGATAGTTTTGGGTCATAGCAAATCTATACACAACAGAATGAAATACTGCCTGGTTCTGCACTATCCTCAACAATTGTTAGGCTTGAGCCTATTGGTGCTATCACTGTATCAATCCATTTCGATGAAGGGCTTCTTTTTTGCTGACCCTCCACTTTACCAAGCATGATGTCCTTCTCCAGGGACTGACTGATCCCCCCTGACATCATGTCCAAAGAAGAAGAGATGAAGTTTCACCATCCTGGTGTCTGTGAATTTTCCTGGTTGTGCTTCTTCCAAGACGAATTTGTTCATTCTTCTAGCAGTCCATAGCATTTTCAGTATACTTTTCATCACCATAATTCAAACGCATCAGTTCTCCGCCTGTCTTCCTTATTAATTGGCCAACTTTCACATGCATATGAGGCGATTGAAAATACCATGACTTGAGTTAGGCACACCTTAGTCCTCAAAGCAACATCTTTGCTCTTTTACATTTTAAAGAAGGTCTTGTGTAGATTGCCTAATACAGTATGTCATTTGATTTCTTGACTGCTGCTTCCATCAGTGTTGATTATGGATCCAAGCAAAATGAAGTCTTTATCAACTTCAGTCTTTGCTACATTTATTATGACACTATTTATTGGTCCAGTTTTGAGGATTTTTGTTTTCTTTACAATGAGATTGCAATCCATACTGAAGGCTATGGTCTCTGATTTTCATCAGTAAATATTTTAAGTCTTCTTTGCTTCTGGCAAGCAAGATTGCATCATCTGCATATCGGAGGTTGTTAATGAGTCTTTTTTCAGTCTGGTTATTATCTTTCATATAATCCAACTTCTCAAATTATTTACTCAGCATGCAGACTGAGTAAGTATGGTGAAAGGATACAACCCTGGCAAACACTTTTCCTGATTTTAAACAAGTCAGTGTCCCCCGTGTTCTGCTCTAACAACTGCCTCTTGGTCTATGTACAGGTTCCTTATGAACACAATTAAGTGTTCTGGAGACAGGCTTGCTTGTTTGCTGTGTGCCTATGAGTGGGTTCTGTCTCATAATGACACTGTGTAGGATTTCCGAAGCTGTAAATCTTTATGGAAGCAGAAACCCTCTTCTTTGTTTTGAGAAACATGCTTATTATTAGGAGAGATTTGGTAAAGAGAAGATGATGACCCAAAGTTTGATGCCTAAGAAGAAATGTATGATGTGAATTATTAGATCTTTCTCCAGTGTGTCTTTTTGTATGTGTACACATGTGTGTGATTGTGTACATGTGATTTAAATGGTGAGTACTCCTGAGGTAGTTTCAGAGTAAAAATTGTCCTCTCTCAGATCTTTTTTTAAACATCATCATGGTGTGACTTGTGAATGTTAGTTGTTTGTTTTCTCAGCTTGACAAAGTAACTTTGGTAAGATTCAATTTGGAGTATCCGTTGAATTCCTGAACCTTGAAAATATCTAAAACTACCTTAATGATCAGATAAAATAGTATGTGCAGAGTTAATATGTCAGGAAGTAATAGTGTTATCCAATGTCCTGGTGTGATGCTGTAAGATAAGCGCTGGACTGCTAGCAATAAGTAAGGTTCAAAGTTAAAACCAACTAGGCTGCTTCTTGGAAACCCCTACACAGGGTCACTATGAGTTGGAACTGACTGGATGTCACTTAAATAATGATTGATTGATATCGAAAGCATTTTTAAGAAAATTTGCTTTTAAAATGTGGGTTGTTGTTGTTGTTGTTATGTGCCATGGAGTCGGTTCCAACTCATAGCGACCCTGCACAGGGTTTCCGAGGCTGTTAATCTTTATGGGAGCAGAACGCCTCATCTTTCTCCCATGGAGCAGCTGGTAGTTTCGAACTGCTGACCTTCTCCCATGGAGCAGCTGGTAGTTTCGAACTGCTGACCTTGTGGTTCGTAACCCGATTTGTAATCACTACGCTACCAGAGCTTTAAATATGGGTAGGATGAAACAAAATATGAATGGGCCTCTTCAGAGTCTGATACTTTATGCTAAAAGACTTAGGATATGTGCAGTCAGGAATGGGAAAGAAATATGAAGCTGTAATTCTCATGAAGGTTGTTTTCGGTGCCTGAGATTTAGTGATTTGAGATGTGTGCAAGGTGGCTTCAAAAGTTTTGTGAAACAAAAAGTTGAAAAATAAAATAGCGTGTTCATACGTTCTGTGAATGACCTTGCGAGAATCAGCTGCTGCAAGTAGGGTGTGTCCCCTCCACTACCAAATAGAGTGTAAACAATTCATGGTCTTTGCTGCTAAGAAAAGTCTTAAAGGTTTAAGTCTGTACACAGGCACCTTGGAAAAAAGGTCTGGCAATCGACTTCTAAAAAATCAGTCAATGAGAGTCCAGTGGAGTCCAGATGACACAGATGGGGTCTTCATGACTTCACTGCATATCAGCTGAAAACAAAGCAAAACAACAACAACAGCAAAAAAAAAAAAAAAAAAAAAAAAAAAAGAAGCACACTAGAGAATAGGTCTAAGATAAGTTATTTAAAAAAAAATAAAACATTTGTGGGAAAATTCTATTATCCTTGAGTTCCATTTTTCCATGAACTTTTTGAAACTCGTGGTATGTCCTCTGGATTTCAAAACTTTCTGTAGCAGACAAATATTTAGACTATCCAATACAGTTGGTTTTACTTTATCTAACAGCTTGTTGTACATTCTTGTAATTTAGAAATTATAAACTGAGATTTGAAAAATAGTAGCAGCATTGATCAATAGACCACATTGCTTTGGGGTT